GAATGGACAAAAAGCGTTCATCAGAATCCGCTTGTCGCCATCAAATGAAGCCCATCAATACATCACACCGGACAATACCGGAATTAATAAACCAGAATGCTTTGAAAAAAAATTAGAACTTGTTTATGAAACGAGGACAAACGAGATAAAAATCCTTAACGAGTCGAGGGGGGGGGGGCCCTGTCTTGAATTCCCTGATGAGGAAGAACAAGAATAAGACCCATTGCAAAATAGAGAATCAAGAGATGAAACGAAAAGGCAAGATCGAGGTGGACGACACAGTAAGGACGAAAGGGTTACTGGTGATAAAGAATAACAAAACCAATGTGAAAAAGAGTTACATTGCAAAAAGAATGCAACACACTTATGTATAAATTGTTTCTTGTGTGCGTGACGAGACGGAAGAAGAGAGAGGTAGACTGACAGCGCCTGGTTCTTGGTGCATCGGACTAGCAGTTGCGAATGGATGGAATATACGAAACAAGGGGGAGGTAGAGGAGGAGACGAGAAGGATAGAGCAGTTAAGTTAGTCTGTCGGTCAGTGACTGCCTGACTTTCCCGGCGCAGCTGAAGGTCAACTCTCCCCTTCTCTCGAATTTGCCCCGTCCAATTCCGCCCTCTCCCTCTATCTCCTCTGATTCCGGCCAAGACCATCTTTATCCAACTCTATGCACTCACGTACGCAACTCTTCGATACGCTCCAACTATTTCTCCTTTTACTTATTCTAAGGAGCTATCCTCAACTCAGTCAATCCTTATTTCACGCTGATTACGATGAAAGTTTATGATTTCCAACTTTTCGGCCAATTTCATTGTTTCCAATCTCAGCAATCACATTTCAGTAGTCAAAAAGTGCATTGCGGCTAAAATAATCGCATCGATATCTGCACAATTATCGCAATATCTTCCGATATTTCCACTTCCCATGCCAATTATCCTCTCGTACACCAGAATTACCTACACATGTTGTTATCTCTCCTATTTCACGTACCATCAGTGCCTCAGCTTCTCTCATCCCCTCCCCCCCCCTCAGTTCTTTTATTTTCCTCTTCTTTTTGGTTCCTTCAACCCATTCCACCTCTAGCCGTCACGATCACCATGTCCCTGGAATCCCCACTCCACCTCCTCTCCCCTCTCTGCATCCCGTTTTTGCCTCCACTGCCCCCCTTCTCGCTATACTTGTACTTCCGGCCGCGAGACTAGTGCGAATTTCTCAAAAAATAAACGAGATGGCCCCTCTCCTCCTCTTCAGCTCTTCGCAATTTATGTATTCTCCGTTCGCCGGAGATACCGACGCCATCGTTTCACTCTCGGCAATCATCGGCACGACTTCGGGCTCCAAGCCCCGCCCCCTTCCCATATATTTTTAACTACTGGCCTTTTCCTAGCTCTTTTACATTCCCCTAAACTTCCTGTGATGATCCATCAGGAAGAGCTAAATCCAAAGCAATCGATGACTATCGGCCATTGAAAAATCGATGAATAACGAATAATCCTAGTTCAAAGAGATCGTTTTGTTTGCCAACACGAGCAGTTCCGACGCTGGGAAAATAACCAGTCGAAGTTAATAGTCATCTCTCTCTATCGCTCTACGCAAGCCTAGACGATCGCCTCGACTTGAGCACTAGTTGGTATAGGTCAGTGAAGCCACAGAGTCCGTTTATCCCCACTACTATCTACACTCCTAGACAACGGGTCTACGATTGACTCATCTAGCGGATAGTCATACGCAACTCGCGCCTCTCTCATCAAAGGATCTCGATCTCTCCCAGGGTCTCGTTCTCCTCAGCTAATATCAACAAATGCAATTGTAACGCATGTCCTATTTTTAGGATTTAAACGATGTGGGTTGCCGGCGTTGTAAAGTCAACCAAAAGAATTCTTGTTAGTCATTCCATGGGTCACTTACTGTTGACAATATGTATTCAGAGTTTTTACAATTTCATAATTTGAATTTTTGGCTTTAAAATTTTTTCTTAAATAATTAATTTTTATCCGTGGCGTTCCAATATGATGTTATTTGAAGCTTGATATAACAGTGATAATTTGTGACTTCCGATTTATCGGTTGTGAAGGACTATAACAGGTGTCTGTTTACTGTTGGTTTTTCAAATTTTGAGATTTCTTTGGTTTAAGATATTTTTGTCACAATTTTGGTTTATAATTTTATCAAGATTTATACTGCAATGGACTTGGAAATAGAATTGTATTTTTCTCTTACGATTCGTCCTTTTCAATTCTAATTACAATTGCTGTTATGACCGTTAATGGCCGAGGAAGTGGAAGTTTTTTGAATTTTTGTTAGTCTTTAACACTTGGGAAATCTTGGTAATCGTGAGGGGGAGGGGAGGGGGAGGGGGGGG